TAGGTACCTTCATGGTGGGAGTCTGAACGATGGAGTCCAGGAACTTGTGGTTCTCTGCCACTTCCTCAGGAGTTACAATTTCTGGCTTACCGGTGTCACTCTCATAGTTATCCAGCAGGGAGATAAAGGCTGCAAAGATCAACAGAGGCACATTACGTCATTAAACAATGTTTAGGGCTGCTCAGTCCTATAAACATGGATGATAACAATACAGTGCCTAGTGCACTTACCTAAAAAAGTCTCCTTTTTGAAAATGTTCTCATCGACAAAGGTAAACAGTGGATATCCCGCCCCGTCATTGTTGTCATTGATGTTCATGCTGTCTCCAGCTTTTCCCTGAAACAGGAAGAACAGTGCTTTTCATAAAATGCTCCTCATGTATGCTTCCAGTGATATCTTTTCCTTTACTCTTACTTGTGCCTCCAAAATGTAAGTATTACTACTACGTGGTAAAAAATACAAGTAGAAAGTTTGTCCAAATTAGGAAGACCTACAATAAAAATTTCCATAAATATCGACGGTTTCTATCACAAAGATCTAACCTTTACCTTTACAGTAGGTCTCTAAGTTTCCGGGCTTTGACTTTTTTACTGAGTAAAGCTCATTCAGAGCTAAAAACTTGAGCTCTATTTGCAGGAGAAGAACAGTGCCTGTTTTGAGGTGTAATGCAGACTGTCAGATATCGTCATAAGTTTGCAATATATACTATTATCTACAACAGGTGTCTGTGTGTGTCTGAGTGCGTGATGCACCTGAAGGGAGATCCTGTAGTCTTTTCCAGGCTTTAGTCTGTTGATATCATTGTCCCATAGCTCCTGCACCATGGCTGACAGCTCTCTGTCACTCTCAATCATGATATGACCGCTTGCAGATGTGCTGTGGATGCTCTCTCTTTCCAGTATGTGCTTCTGACAGGAGAGGAACAGTTACTGAAGCCTCTGCTTAACTCGAGCTTTAAGCTTCAGAGGTGAACAACACCATAAAACTATTTTTCACATATAAAAAGTGTAAAGCACAGGTACGCTAATGCATGTAGGCATACAATAATGTATTTCTGCTCTTTTTGAACTTGTTTAAGTGACCCATCAGATTAAATATAATACTCACTTATGTGTAAAAAGCTTTTCAGAAATATTTAACTTTGAGGTGATGTGTGTGCAAACAGAGGTTATAAATCAGTTTATACAAATGGTTTTGGCTATTTGAGTACAGCATTTTAGCCCAACCATTTACATGTTGTTGTTTTTTTAAATAAAGAATGTATTTATTATATAAATAATTAGATATAATAAATAGCCATTTCCCACTGAGGAAAATGTCAGCTTTATCATAAATAACTAGATATTTCAAGCTACTTAAATAAGCACTGTTAATCATTTCTGTGTCACTATAAGGTCCTTTTTATGGTTAGTGGTTTATTATCTTTTGTAACTGAGTTGATGTTCTTAACTTTAGTATTTTATTTTATTTATTTGTACATTTCAACGTTTTAGATAGATACATGAAAGCGATTCACAAGGCTGTCCTAAGTGACTCGGCACTGTAAAAACATAATAGCTTCAACTGCTTAATCTAGCTTAAACACTATTGCATTCAACAAACGTGGCTGACATAGATTCACACATTGCATCCCATCAGCCACCACATCAAAATCCACTGACCTTCTCCTCTGTCTGTCCTCCTGCTTTAATAAATCAAATCAATGATTTGAGGGTTAGTGAAGTATCTCAGTGCTGGTCAGGTGCTGCTCGTGCTGGTTGCCGTGCAGGTGTGTTTAGAGGCATAGTAATAGTCCAGCCATGTAGTCAATCAGTGTGTATGGAGAAAGGCAGGCATGGGCTGGGGGAGCGAACAGAGACCACGAGGCAGGGGATGGGACAGGACAGGAGAGAGGGGCCGTTTTAAAGGGTTATCCCCTGTCAGCAACTCTGACCAAAGGGATCACACTATGTTGTCGTCTCTTTTCAGTCTCACACTAAAACGTGGGGTCTTTGTTTCTTTAGAATTTCATTGTTTCTCTGTCTGTCACAGCATAACCTCTGAATTACAGGGTAAATATGGGTCATATTTCAGGTAATAAGATTTTGTTAATGGTTAAAGTTCACTTAAACATCTACATAGAACCAAGGTCTTGTACGAAACACGATTGGGGGTTTTTTTTGTTGGGGTTTTTTACAAGTCATTGACCTCACCATTTCAGATTAAAAGCTTGATTAAAGCATTTTAAAACAAGATTTTAAAGTCTTCAACAAATTAAATTTAAGGAGGAGCTAATACAACTTTTTACTTTTATAATAATTTTATTTATTTAAAAAAATCCCGAAAATATTTATATATAATGTGGCCTTCGTGGAATTAGAATAGAAGAGTTTTATTTTGTGTTATCTTTTTGTAATATACAATTTCTTGTAGCCGTCTGAGTGTTTTAATTTTCAGAAAAATACAATCCCAGGCTTCTTTCTTTTTTTTAACCTTGTTTCTACTACTGAAAAAATGTCTGGCAGAATTAAGTCTAAGAGATGAGCAAAATTATCTTATGTCTAAATCTCAAAATTGCCATTTTGAAAGTTTAAGTTGCTTCTAAAGAAGCTAAAATTTTAAGATCCCTAATTCAATTTTTTAAGTCATTAAGTTGAAACTATCTAACCAGATTCTTACTCTGGATGGCATTACCTTGGCTTCCAGTAACACTGTGAGGAACCTTGGAGTCATTTTTGACCAGGATATGTTCTTCAATGTACATATATAGGTATCAACTATCTTAATTGCCCCTTGGGGGTGAATAAAGTTTTCGTGGCTTGACTTTGACTTGACTTGATATTAAACAAATATGTAGGACTGTTTTCTTCCATTTGTGCAATATCTCTAAAATTAGAAATATCCTGTCTCAGAGTGATGCTGAAAAACTAGTTCATGCATTCATTACTTCCAGGCTGGACTACTGTAATTCATTATTATCAGGAAGTCCTAAAAACTCGCTGAAAAGCCTTCAGCTAATCCAAAATGCTGCAGCAAGAGTACCGACAGGGACTAGAAAGAGAGAGCAGATTTCTCCTGTATTGGCTTCCATTCATTGGCTCCTTGTTAAATCCAGAATTGAATTCAAAATCCTGCTCCTCACATACAAGGTCTTAAACAATCAGTCTCCATCTTATCTTAATGATCTTATAGTAGCATATCACCATTAGTGCACTTTGCTCTCGCACTGCAGGCTTACTTGTTGTTCCCAGAGTATTTAAAAGTAGAATGGGAGGCAGAGCCTTCAGTTTTCAGGCCCCTCTTCTATGGAACCAGCTTCTAGCTTGGATTGGGGAGACAGACACTATCTGTACTTTCAAGATTAGGCTTAAAACTTTCTTTTTTGCTAAAGCATATAGTTAGGGCTGGATCAGGTGACTCTGAATTCTTCCTTAGTTACACTGCAATAGGTTTAGGCTGCTGGGGGGTTTCCATGATGCACTGAGTGTTTCTTCTTCAGTCACCTTTCTCACTCACTATATGTTAATACACCTCTCTACATTGAATTATATTTGTTATTAATCTCTGTCTCTCTTCCACAGCATGTCTTTCATCCTGTCTTCCTTCTCTCACCCCAACCGGTCGCAGCAGATGGCCCCGCCCCTCCCTGAGCCTGGTTCTGCCGGAGGTTTCTTCCTGTTAAAAGGGAGTTTTTCCTTCCCACTGTCGCCAAAGTGCTTGCTCAGAGGGGGTCATATGATTGTTGGGTTTTTCTCTGTACGCATTATTGTAGGGTCTACCTTACAGTTTAAAGCGCCTTGAGGGGACTGTTTGTTGTGATTTGGCGCTGTATGAATAAAATTGAATTGAAAGTTTAGTTTTAACCATTACTGAGCATTATTAGCAGCATAACCAACATTATTTTGTGTCTCCCATTTTTAGGTGTCTTTTATATGATAAGAGCATAGATATGTTTTCATAGCATCTGTTTTGTAGAAACTACAAATAGAAGATTTAGTTTAGTACCAGTGTGACATGTCTCTATTCAGGTGTTCAATCTGTGGGCCTTTGCTAACGTGACCTTAGTTAATCTAGAGCAAGTGTGGGCAATACTTTCTTTCCAAAGAGCTGCTTTAACCTAACCACTTTATGGTAAGAGTGTAGACTTTTACCACTCATCTGAACCAGAAACCTGAATTGTGTAATGCACGTGCAAAATAAGTTTTTTTGGACCTCTGCAGAAACAAGAAAAATATATACCCTACATTTAAATATGACACTGCTGGTCATGTGAAATCTCACATTCATTTTGTTGTAACCGTGTAAGAGAAAAAGATTCTGTTGAAATAATAGCGATGATTTTTTTTTTAAAAAAAACTGAAGCCAACGCAGTCAAAACAGGGGTCACACCAAGACTTTCAATAAAACTTACCACTGTGGAAACAGCCCTCAGCCCTGACCTCAGTAAGCAGTGGACGGATGAGCTTGTGCGCTCCGTATCTTATTTCAGGTCATACTGAATAAAACATCAAGTTCATTTTGTAAATTGTTTTCAGGAACCTAAAGAAGTCCAGCGGCTTTCAAGCACAAGACTGTCAGAAAGCAGGACTAAGTCAGTAGCCAACAAACATGCAGTTTCATGGGTACATCAGGTTTCAAAAGACAGAGACGGTGTCAAAAATTCATCCTGAGGCTTCAATATAGGACTTCACAAACCTGAGTAATGTCACAGTACTTTCGTCCATCTGTTATACTGTATATCCACTTTGCCCACAGTAATGATGGCTCATAACATGTGGGCAAAGTGATACACTGCAAGACAATCATGACATTTACATTATGTTTAGTGCATCAGGAAGTTTTCACTAAATTACTGACAACAGAGGCAAGCATTTCAAATATTAATAACCCGTTAAACTGTTTACACTGTGCTGTTTTCAGTATTACTCTTAAGGTCAGCGTTCAAACCTCAACCTACAGTTGTGTCTATTCATGTGCAGTTTTATGCTGGCACCAAGACATGAAATGAAACAGACAAAATGTTAAGTAAGAATTTTTACTTTGAGGAACAGTTAATTGCAATGCAAATCAACATGCTTTGCAGGACAGACCAAATCATTCAGTGCTAAAAAAGAACAGATTTGCTGCAGGGTTCAATTCAGAACAGAACTGCTTGCATTAGAAATTTGCCCTTTCACTCTAATGTAAATGAAGTAATACAATACAAACTAATTTTTGTATCTGTGGATATAATTAAACTATTTGGCCTCACTTTGACACTAATTAGTGGCAACATTAAGGAGTAGATCTATTCGATTATATCATTTCTCACACCAATCCCTGAATGAAATTAAAGCAACACATACCCTAATGAGCAATCGTTAAACCATTGATTCTCAAAAGTATCTAAGCCACTTTCCTCTATTATTTAGTTCTGTACAGAAATATAATAAAACCAATACCAACCAATCCAATGAAATAAATTTTAACCTGCTTTGACTTTGTGCAATGACTCAGCTAAACTTGTTTATGAAAGACTACGGAGTAGGCTCTGTAAATAGCACCCTGTGTCTTTGGGAGGCATGGGGGTTTTCCCATAATGCCTAGAACTAAAACAAAGCACAACTTCCAGTTTTGAAATTATGTGTGAGTAACACATCTCTGGGTTTGTCTCCATTTCTTTAAAGCTTTATCTTAATTGTATTTGTTATATCACGAAATTAAAAAAAACAAAGGTTTTCATGCCATACCTTTGATAAATGAAAAATCAGATTAGATTGTTAATGTGACGTGAATAATGACAAAGTGGGACAAAGACGGTTCCAGTTTTCCTCTTAACACTGGAAAGGCAGAAAAAGCACCTGAAATTGAGCAAACTGAGCTTAACTAGTGGTTCCATTATTAGTTCCTAAACTTTATAAACCTGCAGGACAGGAAGTGCATGTCTACTTGAAAAGAGAAAATCTAGACATGTACAACCAATATAATGTTGACCTGTATAAGTCTGAAATTCAAACAGCATTTCCAATGATTTAGCCCAGTGACCCAGTCAGGTGCAGAAAACTGTGCTGCCAATCAATAACCACATATCTAAATACCCATTATTGATGTACAAACCAAAACAGCAATTTTAATGTTACCATTAGCCAAAGTTACGACAGCTGTCTCTTTCCCTAATTCTTTATATCGCAATACATGACATGTCAGGTTTACTAAAAAAAAAAGATGTTGTCATCCAAGATCCCTGACCCGCTTGGAAAAATAAAACAAAAAAACAAAGACATAATAGTGACATGGTAGGGTTATGGTGGCTGTAGTTGCACTGTTTGGCCAATGCAGGCATATTGAAGTCACAGATGAAGTGGTGGCTATGTGAGAGATAAAGTGCGTTCAAATTGAGCATACAGCAGTGAAGCACTGCACAGTGTCAGTCCTCCTCATCACTCCAGAAGGCATCATCATCTTCATCAGGATCCACACCGAGAAAAAGCCTGCAACAAGAAAGAAAAGATGCATTCACAAACAATACGTAATGTAAATATAATATCAATAAGCCTAACTTGGGGGAGGGGGTTAAAAAAAGAAGGAAAAAAAATCTCTTACTGGTTGTAACAAGGTGAATGTGGGTTGTTAAAGTGACTGTATGGGTTGACTTTGCTGAGGACGCCCAGGCACAGCCAACAGAAGTACTGCTTACAAGAGGTGCAGGTCATCTTGTTACAGCCATCAACTTTCTGAAGAGACACAGAAACGATACATTAGCTACAACTGGGATAATCTGGAAGCGAACGCAAGATTTTTCACAGACAGAACAGAAAAAATAACGACATATGACGCCTCAGTCACTGGCCTAAAGATCACTAGGCAACCCCCTGGCAACCTGGTTAGACAGTGGTTTCCAGGTAATAAAAAAAGTTGCTCTGCGATTGCCTTGGCTGCTGGCAGATTGCCAGAGTCTCTCGTCAAGGATTTCATAGACTTCAATGAAAGCTCTTAACAACTACTCACCGGGCATTAACGGAAATAAACATGTGACACAAACGCAGACAATGATTCCAGGAGTAAACATTTCCCCCTACCAAACATGAGTTGCTAGGATGTCTCTAGGCCAGTACGTTTTAAGGAGCAATTTTTGACTGGTGGCTGCAGTTCATTTTGGAGACCGTCTGATGACAATAAACATTCAATTTTACAAAAATCTGAACCATGATGCTCAAGTCAAAGCCAGTTCTACTTCACTGTTAACAACAGGGAAAGCCCAACCTGTATATTGGTTCCACAGCGCGGGCAGCATTTGCAGTTCTCACTGAGCCAGTCTCTGCTAAAGGACTCCTCAACTGCTTTCTGGATTACCCTTTTCCCATAGCGTTGCTCCATGAACTTTTGCCCTGAAGCAGTAGCAGACAGGTACTCATCTCTCAGGTTACGCAGTTCCTCTGTAGGGAAAAAAACAAAACAAAAACACTGGTTTGAACATGAAGATGTGTTGATGGCATGTCTTTAAACAAAGAAATCTTCACACCAATGTACAGAATCTGGTGGACAAAGACAACATTTTGATATTGGAGACTTTCTGGTTTCTACTACAAAATTTGTAGGTCGAGTTAACTGACCAATCAGATTTGCTTCTAAAGAAAACTATTAAAGTTTCAGTGGCATTACCTGCACGAATTTTACAGTGGGAGACACCGTGATACCCCAGCTTGCACAGTGTGCAAAAAGCATACTGGCATGCTGAGCAAATGCCCATGGTTGTGTCTGGCTCCATCATTACAGCGGTACCACAGGACTGACGGGGACAGTAGACCACATCAGCCATAAGGTCCAAACTGGACTGAAGGAGCAAACGGTCATATCTGGCAAACAGCTCCTCGTCCACGAGCTGTTTCACCTGAAACATAAAGGCAGACAGGAAAGGAAAGCAGGGTAGGCGCTGACGGTAGGGTGAGTTGGACTTTAATTGAACGGACTCATAAATCACAAATACCTGTGACGGTGTGGCTAAAGAGGTACATTTGGGCTCCGGGCAGTTAAGGCACTGAACATTGCCATCCCTTATTTGGATCTGGAAGTATTCAGTCATGCAGGCCTTGCAGTATACATGTTGGCACTCCTTAAAGCAGAGACAGTTTGAGCCCAGCTTCTCTACAAAGCAGATTCCACAGCAGAACACTCTGCTGTCGAACACCCTCTGCCGCTGCGCCTCGTCAAAGTCTAGGAGCTGAGGTAGAAGGTCGGCACGCGGGTCCATCAAAAGGACAGTCCTCGGGTCCAGCTGAGAAGACGATGAAATCTTCTGTTCAGACTTGGAATTCATCAATTCTTTTTTCTTTTCTTCTGCTTTTTCAGGATGTCCCCCAAACTGCACCATAGCTAGGACAAAAAAGCAAAAGACAAATTTGCACCATTTATAAACATAAAATGCAATCTGTACATATGAATTACAAACAGAAAAAAATGCCTGAGATGTGAACAATGTGTACAAGTGTGTGTACCAATGCACATGACAGGGAAACAATTAATAGCTTTCAACCTTCCATCTTTCCAGTTCAACTTTCAGGGGAAAAAAGTGGATACCACCAATGAGATGTTAGGTAGCCATCAGCAAAACAATGAGAAAACTGAGATCCTCACACCCAGGATGCCTACGTGTGCATCAAGTATTCTGCAACTGAGAAGCATCCAAAATGTTCATTTTAGGCTCAGTGCAGCTAAAGCACTGACAGTGTCCATGTTATGCTATTTTGGAATGTGGATAATTTCAACTAACGGCTAAGAAGACATGGCGAGGTTAAATAACATTAACAAATCTAATGTTTTGAGCCAGTTTGTCCCAGTGTGCATAGTGTGTGGTGTGAAGTATCTATGCTCTAATTTTCACTGCACGGTCGGGTTTTCTTCACTCATTACCTGCCTTACTTCCTCCCCTTATGATTTCAAGAGGTGACTGGATACCCAGAAAGCCCAGAGCCTCTTCTTTGAGGAACTGGATCCATGTGAAAAGAATCACACAACCCTGATTCTCCTCCCACAGCTCATCCAGTCGTCGGCATAGAGAGCTCATCTGAGGTGACATTGAGAAAGGTTTTGATATTTACGATGTACTGTTGACTCACAATTTGAATATCCCAACATGTCCAGTACTTCTTGTGGCACAATAAAGGATTATCTGAGTTGTTATGAGTCCGTACCTGTGCTCTGGTCATCCATTTACAGCTGAGAGTGAAGAGCGGTGGGGCTGTAGAGGGATAGTCTGCAGGAATCTCAAAGTTGACCACCAAAGGAGGTAGGAAGGAGACATTATATTCAGTTTTATTCTCTCCTGTGATAGACAGAAGAGACTTCATTACATTTCTTATTAGTGCATGATTAGGAGGGAATAACTGAATTAACCCTCTGCACCCCATATTAGCTGTGGACGGCCAAACTCGCATACGATATGAAAAGGTAATCATATTTATATAAGGAAAAGTTGAATTTTTAGGACACTTGAGTCCAACATGTTGTTGTTTAGCGAGCTTGTTGTCAGCTACATGGAGACCGGGAAGGATTGCATGTCTAACCTGCTGACACTAACTGTGACAATATCGGTAATAAATAAGTATGTTTATGCAAGTTTTCCTATGTTAAAGTCCTGACTTCAGCACAGATGAGGCTTGAGGTGAGGAGGGGGATGAGATGGAGGCAGGAAGGAGAGAGTAATGCTGTAGGATGCAAACGAAAAGATGAAAATATCAATGTAAACATCTTAAATGGCCACATGCAGTTTGAAAAAGCTATCTCTAATCTTTGAATAAAACAAACTAATAATTACTTAAGCTTTAATCATGTTTATCACCATATACCCATTGCCATTTCTTTCAGGAATCTGGAAGATCTTAATAAAATTATATTAAGGTACAGAGGGTTAGGGTTAGCCCATCTTCTCCAACGCATCCTGAAAAGCGCTTTATTATTATGAAACCTGTCAGATTTTTCCCCACAGCTTGCTTTTCTTTCTTTGCAAAGCCTACCGGACAGCTGTACCTTTGACTACCACTTTGAAATCTGGAGGGAGCTCCAGACAGAGCTGGATCTCTCCCCCCTGTGCAGACTCTGCCCGATGAAATTCCTCTTCATCGTAGATACTTGCTAAAGCAAGCAGCTCATCCTCCTGGGCTTCCTTGTCCTCAGACATTTACATTCCTGCATTAACGGTGTGTGACAAACATTTATTATTAGAAATATCATGACAAATCCTGACAAACCGCTAGCACACGTTAATACTGACAGAAAGCTAAAAACAAAAGCAGCAACTTGCATTTTGTCCTCAGAAACATAACGTTTTCCTGCATTCACAGTTTGCAGCTTGGTTAACCGTGGTTTTCCCGGAACTCTTTTTATATAACAATGACTAATCACCTGAGAGCAAAGTACAGTTTCCTGTGATATAACGTCAGCTTACCGTAGCTAACGTCATGCTACAGTGTGGCCCAAAAGTTAGCAAGCTAGCTAGAAAAAGTTTACTTATCTATGTCAGACGTATTCCTAACTCCATCCTAATTTAACAGCAAGTAAATCTGAACCGTGAGTCAGCTTCAAACTAGAGGACAGCTCCGTAACTACCAAAGTAACTAGGGGAAACCCATCCAGGCTAGCTTGTTGTGCTAGCTCAAACAGTGGCTTCTTGGGGATCTCGGCCGTCCTCTAACTTTTCTTCTGTAGCAGCAACACAGCACTTTAGCTCGTCTACGCAACTAAGAACCCCTGCATAAGATCCCTAAGCCTCTAAGTACTAATTAACTATGGAAAAGTCAATGTTTCTTACCTTGTGCGGCCAAAGCACTAATGACTCCTGCCCTGACTTCTTTCTGTCATGGCGCGTCACCTTCAGGCTTGTGAGTGTATGACATCTTTACTTGCAATTTTGTTACGCTAAGAAGCAGCGACCTCATGGTATTTAAATAAATATTGTACCTCTGTAAGACTGTACGAATCTTAGTAAACATACACCACTTCATTAGGTACACCTGTTCATCAGAGGTGTGGACTCGAGTCACATGACTTGGACTCGAGTCAGACTCGAGTCATTAATTTTATGACTTTAGACTTGACTTGAAAAAATGTTCTAAGACTTGTGACTTGACTTGGACTTTTACACCAATGACTTGGGACTTGAATTGGACTTGAACCGGTTTACTTGAAAAGACTTGATATTTTACCCCAAATATAAAATTTAACATGCATATTATATAGAGATTGAAAATGTGACGTCATTCACGGGTAGAACCGCAAAGGATTCTGGGAACTCGTGGCAAGCGGTACTAGCGCACGCAGGCTTTCAATTAAAATCAGTTATACAGCGATAAAAAGAAACACAAAAATGTCAAGAAGCTGTTGTATTATTAACTGCAATAGCCGGTCGCATGACAGCCACGGGAAGCCGACGGGTAAAGAGATCGGTTGTTATCGGATTACGTCGTTGAAGAGAAATTGTTCGAGCCATGTTTCCGAAGTAACAAAGACAAGACGGATGGTCTGGATTGCAGCCATTCAAAGATCAAATATAACGTCCCAGAACACTCCAGCTCACAGGTTAGTCTGCTCCAAGCATTTACACGAAGGTCAGTGTCTTTTAGTACTTAATACGTCATTTTCATAACATAATTGGTGATATAGGTTACAAGCAAGTCTGGCGCTGAACAGAAATTGTCGCGCTATGCTCCTTTGTTTATTGTGCATAAATAGTGAATTGTCCTGACACAATATTGCGTTTCGCTTCTGTTATTATGGTACATTGACAAAAACATATACTTTTATTCACAGGATAAAACAGTTGTTTTGTATCACTAATTGTCCAGTGCGATTACAGCATACAATATTATTGTCACTGCTACATTTCTGTGATGGGTACCAGAAATTATTTCCACTACTAATTAATTACCGTTGAGCTCAAAGGTCCTATTAATAAACGGTTAACGAATGTGTATTTATGACGACGATTTGTGAGACTGGTAAACTTATGATACGTATGATGGTCTTTCGTTCGACACGGTGCGTTTCAACGTCCTGCACCCATCCGTCGGTAAACTGTACCTGGGCTTGTTGCAGTGACCGGAAGTTACTAAACTTCATGAGTGTGTGCGCTCACTCCAAGAACCGAATGATTATAAATATGCATATAAATATGCTAAGATGAGATAGCTGACTTCATCTAACTAGCAAATGTTTTCCAGGCTACGTTGGTGATTCAGTTTTTTTTAATATGTATGATATTTTTGTCATGCGATTTTAAAGCTGGTCCTACAACCGCATCCAAGAATAACATGCAGCTTATCTCAGAACTGTCGGTGAAAATTATTCTTGGAGCTAGGTTTAATTGAGCTGCATTTTAAAGAGGTGCAATTTCACAATTTGTGTATATTTTCTAAGTTCACTATTTTGTCATGTGTTGAGAAAAACACAGATTAAAAAATTACATGGTCTAATATTTACATTTAGCATAACTGCAACATTATTTTTTCGTTTTTTTTTTTAAAGACTCGAAAGGACTTGAAATTCAAAGTTTCAGACTTGTGACTTGACTCGGACTTTTACACCAGTGACTTGAGACTCGACTCTGACTTGCCTGACATTACTTGAGACTTGACTTGAGACTTGAGGATAAAGACTTGAGACTTACTTGAGACTTGCAAAACAATGACTTGGTCCCACCTCTGCTGTTCATTTACTTGCTGATACTAATATCTAATCAACCAATCACATGGAAATGCAGTGCTTTTAGCCATATAGACATGATCAAGATGACCTGCTGAAGTTCAAACTGAGCATCATAATGGGGAAGAAAGGTGATTTAAAATATTCCCAGTACGAGTATTTCAGAAACTGTTGTTCTACTGGGATTTTCCTACAAAGCCATGTCTTGGGTTTATAGAGAAAGGTCTGAACAAGTAAAAAAATATCCAATGAACAGCAGTTCTCTGTAAGAAAATGCCTTGTTAACACTAGAGGTCAAAGGAGAATGTCAAGACAGCCTAAATTTGGTGTAAAAAATATGAAAGCATGGATCCATCCTGCCTCGTATTAATGTTTTAGCCCGCTGGTGGTATAATGGTGTAGTAAGCGCATGGCCCACTAGAGGACGCCAGGCCCTCCTCACAAAGCATGTTTTTGACTGTATCAGTGGACTGCTGGAGGTCACTTTGAAGGGCTCTGGCATTGCTCATCCTGTTCTTCCTTGCTCAACGGAGCGGATACCGGTCCTGTTGATTGGTTAAGAATGGCCTTCTGTTCTAGGATATACAGCAAACCTGGCAGTGACAACTGATGTGCCATCCTGGTAGAGTTGGACTACCTCGGCCACTTCTACGGGTCGGTCAAAAGCTAGCAGCGCTCTCCTACTTAATTGACCATATCAATATTCAAGAAGTTTAAATGGCTTGAGGTTATATTCTGCTTAAAAAGTGTTTAATTTTTGGAGCAGTGTATTGTGCAAGGTTGCAGGATGTTTGTAGAGTGTTTGCAAAACTACATTTAAAATAAACCTTATTTTCTCTCTGAAAACTGGATGTAGGATATGCAATTACTACTGTGTTCAAGACAAAAAAAACAACTTTTTCAGCTATAAGTCATTTTATTTTTTTAAATTTTTGCTTCTTTTTGGTGACGTGGCAACAACAGCAGCACCCAAAAAGGTGATTTGTTGCACCAGCATTCACTTTTAAGTAAAAAACAAAACAACAAAACCCCTCCCAAAACAAAAAATTCAAGGCTACCAGAGAACAACAGACATACCAGTGCTTTTGAATGAGAAAAGCTCAACAAAGAAATACTGCATGACAGTAACTTGTTGTATATAGTTCAAACATACGATACAAGTAAACTCAACAAAAACTCCCTGTTTCCACTTAAACGAAATAACATTATAATCCGAAGTTACAATTGTTTGTGGTGGTGGTGGTGGGGGAACACAATTTTGTCATGTACAACTCTGAACAATCCGTGTTAACTACCAGTGCCTCTGTATGTATACTTACACTCAGACATACCGCAGTAGTTTACATTTTCAATAATCTCGTATGTATAATTCTCTCCTGAACAGCTATTTTGCTTACAAATTTTTCATATCTGACATTCATAGTTTACATTTGCTCTGGAAATGCTGAAGTCATCTTTAACAATACAGCCCACCAAAGCAGCACAGAGAGAAAGCAGTTTCCATCCTACGCTCACAACCTTTATGTCATTAAGTAGTCCGTTCAGTATTACTATTATGCAATATTTTTTGTAGTCAAACAAAATGAGAAATGGCATGCTGAGGCGGCTGGTTGATGCGTAGTGTTGATTAGAGATGCTGTCGTCTGTGTCTTTGAGAGAGGCTACTCGGTCATCAAGAACAATCTCAGAGGAAGGACAGAACTCTGTTTCAGGAGGAAACTAAAACTCAGGGGCTGCAGTGGAAGCAGTTAGTCAATGTCCATTTCAGGGAGATTTTTCTCTGGCGTTTTTGTCTGCTGTTCCGTGCCCGCGGGCGTCGTTTTGTCCGGGTTGCACGGTTGGCTCTCTGTTCCCTCCTGTCCGTTAACCGGCCCATTCTCCGTCTTCTCCTCATTAGGAGGCTCCACCTTGGGTTTGGGCTTGGGTTTAGACAACACTGGGTTGCAGGATGCATAAAGCTCCTAAAGAGTAAAAAGATACACATGCTTAGAACATGACATCACAGTTTTTAAACTTAAATTCTTCAGCTCATACCACAATGACAAATTACTTCAAACTGCTTGGCAGCTACTACAAGACTGTTGAGTGTCGTTTTTGGCGTTGGGTTTTTGTGAAATCTTCAGATGCTCTTAGGCCGTCAGTATAAGGAAAACAAAAGATAATGATGAATAATGATCTTAATCACCATTAAAGTAAAATAATAATAATAATTCATGTTTATTCTGTTAAGATTTTTTTAAGTTGATGTTACAAAAGTATACTGGATAAACTTTGCTAATATGTTCATATTTATATTACTGTCTACTAATTGTAGACAATGAGCCCTTAAAACCCTAAGGAAGCCCATAATGAAGCTCTCTTAAAGAGCATGCAAGTGGTGTGTGTGTGCTTTTAATGTCTACCTTAGTCTTGGCCTTGATTTCTGTAACTTTGACCACTGGGTCCACGGTGAGGTCTTGATTGTTCTGCTGGTTCATCTTGCTGTTCATCCAGACCATGGCATCATTTACCTGCTTGTCCACCCTGGTCACCTCCAGCTCATCCAGATGATCATAGAGCTCGTCCTGTTGGGGCACACAAAAGTAAATTTGACAAACGTCTGGGGATTCTTGAGCTTAGTCTGTGATATGTCTGACCTACAGCTGTTCTTAAAACTTTGTATAAAGAGTTCAACAACAAACCCTGGTTACCTTTGCCTTGTAAGCTTCAATTATCTTCATGTACATCTGGATTTGTCTCCCAAGCTCCTCAAACGCTTTCGGCCTCTCCTCAGCTTCCACGTATCTCTCGTGGATAGGCTGGCCAATTTTCTGTTAAAGCAACATCGTCAGTAAGGCCGCAAAGTTATTCCAAATATCTGTAGAGTGAACCATTTTATGTCTTTTTTTTCCTCCCATAAAACTGTCCAGTCATACAATGAGTGCGTAGTTACCTTGAGTTCAGCCAGTTTGTCGATATAAACTTGCTTCTGTTGGTCTTCTCCATCTTCATACAGCCAGTTCTCTGTGTCCTCCAGTTTTAATGAGAACAAATCGCGATCCTGCATGTGAAGCAGTGAGGAAGATTCATTGTTTAACATTAAACGCATG